CATCTGATCCTACGTCAGCAAAGGGAACACAAACTCATGATCATGGCAGGGTTCCTCAACTTGTGGTATGTGTCATGGCTTTTTCCCTCACTTCATCTTACTTATTTTGAAAAACAGGAGAATCTTAGTCTTGAAATTAAGGCAAGATGAATTTTTACACTAATTTTTCTACTTTCTATAAACCAAGGCGGGTTATTTAAGCTGTATATAGATCATTTTCTTATCCACAGAATGATAGTTCTATGTCTAAATAGTAAGAAAAATACAGGTTCCAATATTCAGTGATTACATAGAACTCATGCATGTTGCCCTAAACTGTATCTTTCTGCCTAGAACAGAGATAGACTATAGTTCTCCACTTCCCTAGCAGTGAGATATTTCCAAATAGAGTTGCACTGGATGTTAGGGCCTCGCATGTGACTTCTTTTTGATGGAAACACAAGTTAGTTCAAAGAAATTATCAACAATTAAAATTAGAAGCTTGGGGCTGGGGAGATGGCTTAGTGGAATAAGCACTTCCCTGGCAAGTGCACGGGCCTGAGTTCAATTCCCGTTCTGCAAAAAAAAAAAAAAAAAAAAAATAGAAGCTATCTTCATAGTTCAGATTTTGGTTGTTTTTTAATGAGGATCTGACCACATTGAACTTAGATTAAAAGTGATCTTTTAAGAGGGATTCTGGCTCTTGTTGGGAGGCCAAGTTTCATTAGTTTATTCCTCTTAGTTCTATTCTCTTAGAACCCCTCACCAGTTTCAGAACTTAGCCTTGTGATCTTTGACTGTAACAGGCTCAGTAGTGGGAGTGTACTGCCAAGCCACATTTTTGTGGCATAGAACACACATCCTCAGTGTCGTAGGACACAGAGGACTTCCATCTGAGAGTCGTTATCTCTGACTGCAACACTTGACTTCCATGTCAGCCTTCTGCATGCCTGCTTCTTAAACCCACAACATTTGAAGCCTCAGATTCAAAACTTGGTTTGTGTACACCAGCCATCACATATCGTAGCTTTCTCAAAGGCTGGCTAAAGGAGGTAGCTCAATGATACATATAGAGGAATGGCAAGATTAAAGGTTGTAGTATTTTGGTGTAAACTTTTTAGCCACCACAAAGATGCTCCATCCAGATAACAGATTAAAATAAGGGCCCATTAATGAACTACTTTGTGTCTCATTTTCTCCATATATAAAATGAGGATGATAGGAATATCTAGCTAGTATATAATTGTAAAGGTTTAAATTACCTGCTATTGGGAAATTGCCAAGAATAGTGTTTGTCACAGAGGAAGAACTAACATGTATTGTCAATTAGCAGCAATATCTTAGCAGTTTTGTGAATGGGTTTTCATGTTAATTCATTAGTACCTTGTACCTTATACTTCCTACTCACATGCATTAGGTAATGCAAATATGCCAAAGGAATAAAAATAATGTAAAACCCTATTACCATGCGTAGACTCTAGGAAGTGCCCAACAAGAACAAGTAGATACTGTGAACTGGGTGATCAAAAGAAAAAAAAGAGTTTTGAAAATCCTTCACTGAAATGAGTAGTTAGACTTAGAAAAAAGAACATATACTTGACCAATTGTACACAGAGTATGAGAAAAAGAATGAAAATGATTGTTGTATCTGTCTCAGTTACTCTTCTCTCATTGCTGGGACAAATAACTGATGCCCAAAATGAAGGGAGGAAAGGTTTCTTTAGCTCGCAGTTACTGGAGGCTTCAGTCCATACTCAATTGGCTCCAAGGCAGAGTGGCACAGGGCCGAAAGCATCCATTCATGGTGGCAGAAAAGAGCAAGAGCGAAATGGAGGAGTAACAGCAACAATGGCAACAGGCAACAATAGCAACAGAGAGAGACAGTCTGTCTCTTTGGTACTACATTCAGGCTCTCTGCCCCAGGCTGGGGAAGTACACACACCCATAATCCCAGCAATACTAAGACCCATAATACCAGTGTTAGATCACCTATAATCCCAGTGGATCACGAGTTAATCACAAACTCTAGATGTCCCCACCCCTTGACTGCATGAGGCTTTGGGGGGACAACTAGACACAAACCGTAACAATATCATATCCACACATTTGGCTTAATTCAATTAAAATAAATTAAATAAAAACAGATTTCTAAAGTATATAACCACTTGTGTAAAGTATCAGTATGGTATTTTATTTTAGGAATTTTGGCCAAAAAAGAATAAAAGCCATTATGAATAGTTTCACATGTGTTAGTATTTACACTGGCAATAAAATAATAAAAGTCTTCTCTCAAAGATTTTTATATTCATTACTGTAAGACAAGTATTGGCTAAGATGTTTGTCAATGTTCATTTCAAAGTATGACTATTTTTGTAATTATTGAAATAAACTGTCAAAATGTAAGTTTGTTTATTTATTTATTTATTTGGCAGAACCAGAGCTTGAACTCAGAACCTTGCTCTTGCCAGGCAAGCGCTTATTCTATTGAGCCATCTCCCCAGCCCCAAAATGTAAGCTTAGCATTTTACCAGTTGACTAACATTGTATGGCAGTTGTCAATTGAAAATTGAACGAGGAAGATTTTCTAGAAACAAACATCATTCATTCTCTGATATTTAAGGACAGTTTGCGGTGTGTCCATAGATCTTGCATATTGGCAGTTTTGATATTTGCAATGGATCAAAGTTTGGCTTCCTATGAGTCACTTGGAGGAAATTGAAAACAGAGGAATCCACCCAGGCTACACCTTTGGAGTTTATGACTCATGAGGGAAAGCCTCAAATCTTTACTTATCAAAACTATCTCAGATTGTCTTTGTGAACTTCTGCATTTGGGAAATGTTGATCCTTTTACCTGAGTTCTTTATTCTATCTCTCAAACAGTGCTTGACGTTTTCGTAAATAATTGCAGAGATTTAGAGAAATATATTATCAGTAATGTTTATATAAATATTTCTGAATCATTCTGGACTTTCCAATTGTGTGTTGTATTAGGAAATAGCTTTCATCAATTGCAAAACTAAATGTATTAAGGCTTAGTTTTAAAAATTGCTATAGCATTAATTGAATATGCTGTGCTAAAATTCTTTATTTTTAAATAAAGTACTTGTATTTATAAATAAAGTACTAGTTCTTTGTTTCTTTTTTTTTTAAAGCTGGAGTTCTTGCACTGCCGTATCAGCTCACAATACATTTATAAAGCAGTATCCTAAAATATTCCTGCACAAAAAGACCAGATTGCCTAAAATTTTGAAAGAAGTGCCAAAAAGGTAATAATTTTTTTCTTCCAACAGCTAAATTGGCATATGTGTGTACAACTATTTGTGTGTGAGTTAGTATTGTACAGTGTACCCTCGGGCCTAAAAGTAGAAGTAATAACAGTTAAGTGTTTAGTCAGTTAGCAGTATGCGTAGAATTTTCCCATAGAAATTATTAGAGTGTTAGTTGGTGGAGGATGCAAGAAGACATATTTTGTGTCAGTGAATGAACAGCAGTCACAAGCCAATCAACTTCGCATTTGCGAAGTTCATTTTCCCAGGATTCTTCTTCTAGATGGACCTATATTTTCTGTATGCTTAAAGGCAATGAGTAATACAACCAAGTGTTGCAGAAAGTGTAACTGCCTTGTCAGGGAAGAGTGAGGATGGATCGTCAGATCACAGGGTAATGCTGCTGCTCTAAAATTATTCTCTGCTCCAGTGGAACTTATATAAGAACAATATCAGACAAGGCTGGGGAGATGGCTCAGTGGAATAAGCGCTTCCCTGGCAAGTGCAAGGGCCTGAGTTCAATCCCCAGTTCTGCCAAAAATAAATAAATAAATAAATAAATAAATAAATAAATAAGAACAATATCAGACAAAAGAAAGCATCCTACATCCTTAGGAAAAAAAATCTCTGTAATGTTTACCTGCATATCTTATATGGGTATACAAATCCCCACTCCATATTACTTTAGGAGAAATGATCTATATTCACTTCCATTGCCCCACTGCCCCACCCTCTAATTGTACCCTGTATAATTTCTGTTATATCCATGAGATTCTATTTCACTTGGCACTATTCTACTTTTGTATATCTGATTCTTAGCAGATGGCCTGACACATAATTGAGACTAATAAATGTGTGTTACCACATGGGAAAGCTATTTACTGACTCTGTAAAAGGATTAAAATGTCTTAATTTATTTATATCAATACTATAAATATAAAAACTCAAACCAAATTACTATAACAAACACATTTGCAGGATTTGGAAGCTATCAGCATGGAAGACATCAACTTGTTTCATTGCACTAAACCTTTCTTTTATTTATAGCTGTAGGGCAGTATTATGTAGGATTTATCAAGCTAGTTAACTGGGAAAAGTCTCTGGGAGATGGACTTCCATTACCTTTTCAAGAACAATTCCTTAAATTAACAATAAAAAAAAAAAACCCCTTGTGAAAAACAGAGATTCAAATAGGACATTTTTCAAGACCTTAATTACCTAGATCAAAGTGTTTCCCTAGACAGTCAGGCCACCTGGAACATTCGCACAGTATTTATACTGAGATTTATCCAATTTGCATTACTCTATGGGAATATCTAATGCAAATATTTTCTATTATTTAATTTAAAGTATATTCAATTTTTGTTCAGAACATGTTTAGAAAGAGATTCATAGTACAAGATGCAGATAGAAAGAGAACTATAAATTAAGCTCCGTCTGTGGAGTAAGGGACAAAGAGTGTTTATGGTACCTGAAATGTTTACCTTGTTCTGCTTTCTTTGTTGAGCTATAGGCACTGGCTTGTTCCCTCAGATAGGACATTTTTGCAAGGACCACATAGAGATATATTAGTGGCTCTTCACAACCTTGGTAAATAGAATATCATCTTCATATTTAAAAAAGTGAAACTTGAGATCCAAAATTTATGTAAACAGGAAAATCATGGTCTAAGGGCAAAAGTAAAGGGCAGTGTACAAAATATGCAATAGCTAAGTAAATGCAAAATATAATTGACTTGTTTGCTGAAATTTTCAGAAAAACCAATCAAATTAGCTCAGGAAACAAGGGAATCTTAGGAATCACATTTCTGAAATTCTTGAAAGTTAAGATAGCTTCAGGCCTAACTGATGAAATTAAACTAAGCTTCCTTGCTGTGTTTGTCTCATCTTTGCCTGGCTGGTTCTGTCTTTGCACTCCACCTGGTGGATGTGGACAGACAGAATTCACCTGCCTGTCCAGGTTCAGGTGAGGGGTGGGGTGACCTTTTGAAATACCCCTGGCAGAAGCTCATTGAAATCTCTTGTTGACTTGAATCCTACTTCTGCATTGTCACTGTGCATTGAATTGCCAGTCATTAGGAAAACCATTAATGCTGTTAAAAACTTAAGAGAGAAAGATTCATAGAAGAAAATCATTGTTTTCATAACTGGAAAATGATAAATGGATGCACAAACCTCAATAATTTTTTTTTCAAGCCGTGACCATTTAATTCAGATCACAAAACTTGAGATGCACACCTAACGTACAACCTTATGTTATCTAACTGCAAGTAAAGTTTCTATTCAGGGCATCAGAGCAACTAAGTTGGAATTATCTAAATAAACTTCTAATGCCTTTCTTAAAGTATTATAAATAGACTCCATTGGAATAAACATAAACATTACTGTTTTAGGACTAATGATAACTGATGAGGTGCAATAGCTTCAGCAGATTTCCTAACCCTAGACCCCTAAATTGAGTTTGCACTGACTTTAAATATTGGTGGCTTTTCAGGAATGAGAGATCTGTGTTGCCGAGTACCTTCTCTCTAAGGCAAAGACTTATGTTTACTTTTTCAAAAGGTTCAATCTCACTAACATTTAAGCCCTTAGTAGACCCCTAATAAAAGACCTATTTGTTGAACTAGGCCATTTTAATGTTTTTACAATTTAATAAATACTTATCTTGATGTAGGTAGTCATGAGAGTTGTTCAGCAGTATTCAAGTTATGGCTTTTCTGATTGGTCTGTAGCCTTCAATAAGTGTAAGAAGTTATTGCATGAAACATCTGTCAAACTAGTAAGACTGTATTAATGCATCTATCATTTTTAGAATTGTTGGTTACCTGGGCATATGTACCCCAGATAACTTGCCTCCTTGTGTCACAAGGCCCAACTTGCTCATGTTCACCTCAATCTTTACCAATTCTTTGGTAATAACACCCAAAGTTATATACAGCGGTGATGATGGATTCCTTTTCATACCAAGTATTGGCAGGCAAAAGGTGGCTTTCAGTTCAGGATGTGTTACATGGGCCTTCTAAAAATGTAAGTCCATTAACCTAACGGATCTTTCATATTTAGGTGATTTTCTTGAAAAGCCATCTCCAACAAAGCAGACTTTAGTAACCACTCTCTTCCATACCTTCTTTTTTCTCTTTCCAGTTCGAATACCTTTTAATACTATCGTTTTTCCTTGGGTACAAACTTTGGGCAGAGGAACTTCCCATTTTCCTGCCATTTCTTTATGTTTTTGTATAATCGTGTTGGACAGTACTTTTGCATGAGACCGTCTTTCTCTGTCCAGCAGGTGGGCAGCTCCTGCTTTTTTTGAAGTCTTTTCATCATTCTTTTGTTTAGTGTTTCTCTTTTCATGCATCTTAACAGTCTTCTTCATTTGTATTTTCTTCATATGGCACTGTTTGTGGTAGAGCTTAGGCTTCAGGTCATTTTTTTTTTTCCTTTCTTTGAACATTAATGAGCCTCTCAATTTTCCTTCTTTCTTTTTCTCATGGTAATCCAAGCAGTACCCAGAGTTTAAGGTATAATTTGACATATTCATTTTGTGACATGATGACAGCTGCAGAGCTGCCATACGTGGCCTTAGTTGTTCAAAGAAAAGTTGTAACTTTGGGGTGTCCTAGATGTACGAGCTGCCTCTGCACACCTAGAAAAAGAAAGCAAGAATTTCTTGAAGAGGGCTGGCCAGATAGTTCAGTGGACTAAAGCCCTGTACTAAAACACATTTAAAAAAAATAAAATAATTTCTTGAAGACACACAGGCCTAAAGAAAGTTAAACAAAAATTTAAAATTAAGAATGGGGAATACATAGAGGAATTCAAAAAAAATTGAAATCGTGGGGTCTGGGAAGATAGCTCAGCAGTCTAAGTGCCTGCCTAGCAAGCAGAAGGTCCTGGGTTCAGTCCTTGATACTGCATGTTGTATGGGCCTGGCTCTGAGCCTAAGACAGGAGAATTGCTATGAGCCTGAACTATGTGATAAGACCTTGTATCCAATAAATAAAGAAAAAGAAATTTGAAATTATATATACAATGAGAAATTGTACAAAAACAGTTCTGACTATAGTGAGATGGAATATATTAATATCAGAATTAGAAACAAAAAATCTAATTATGTAGAAGTAAAATAATATCAATAACACCCCCTAAATATTCCCTAAACAATTACTACTTTAAAGAAAAAATTAAAATTGCATAGTTTTTCAGTATAAATCCAAAGCTAAGGCAACAAAAGCAAAAGTAGACTAATGAGGTTGCAAAAAAAAAAAAAAAAAAAAAAAAGCTAAAGCAAAAAATCAAAATGAGAAGCCTTTTGCAAAGCCTGGGTGGGGTGGGGGGGAGTCAAGAGAATAAAGAAACAACTAATACATTAGCAGAAAAGTATTTTCAAGCCATATATTTGATGCAATAAAGAATTCTCAGCAGCAAGTAAACACTTGGATTAAAAATAGGCAGAACAAATGAATAGACAATCCTCAAAAGAAGATACACAAAGATACAAAATTTTCTATAATTTAGTATTTCTCTCGTGACAACAGCAAAATTATACTTTTGCCTGTAAATGTGTGATAATCTGGTGATAAAATACAAAATAGCAATTTACATTTGTTAAACTAGGTAATTAGGTACTCTAAAGTACCAATAAATGCACTTTAAGCAGAGCTAAAATAAAGTACAGAAAGACAATTTCCTCTTAAGCTTAGCTTGCAAGGCTATCTATCTATCATCTATCTATCTATCTATCTATCTATCTATCTATCTATCTAGCTAGCTAGCTAGCTAGCTATCTATCCAGATGGTGAAAATAGAGCTCAGGTAAATCAGAGAATCTTTTAAGAGAATAAAATACATGGAGAAGTGTGCATATTAGGAGATTCTGAATGCCTGCATTACTAAACTTATTCAATAACTTTCTTCTTATTGTCCTATTCAAACACTGCATAATTAATTTAATACAAATATTATGTGAAGACTATGCTAGCAGGTAAGGCAAATAGCAGG